CTCCTTCCTCCTCCCTCCTTCTCCCTCCTTCTCCCTCCTTCTCCCTCCTTCTTCTTCCTCCTCCTCCCTCTTCCTTCCTCTTCTTCCTCCTCCTTCCTCCTCCTTCTCTTCTTCCTCCTCCTTCCTCCTCCTTCCTCCTCCCTCCTCCTTCCTCCTCCTTCCTCCTCCTCCTCCTTATTCCTCCTCCTTCCTCCTCCTTCTCTTCCTCCTCCCTCCTCCTCCCTTCTCCTCCTCCTCCTCCCTCTTTCGCTTTCCTCCTCCTTCCTCCTCCTTCCCCCTCCTTCTCTTCTTCCTCCTTCCTCCTCCTTCCTCCTCCTTCCTCCTCTTCCTCCTTCTTCCTCCTCCTCCTCTCCTCCTCCTGGGCCAGCTGCACTCACCCTGCACATGAGGAGGAGTGTTGGAAGTCGGATTGTTTAATAAGGGATAAAAGAAGGATGAGCGAGAGCCAGAGCCGGGCCATGTGGCCAAAGGGACATTCCATTCTGTGTGGCATCCTGCTCTGTGCCTGAGCTGGGGAAACCTGCCTGGGAGCTGACTCAGTGTGTGCTGAACAACTGCAGCGTGTGCCACTTGTTGTCTATATTCTAATTATTTTAGCATTGTTAATTTACTTTCTGTTTCTGTCCTGTTAAATTATCTTTATTTCAAGGCACAAATGTTGGTTTTTCCCCCTTCTCTCTCCCCCATCTCACTGGGGATGGGCTGAGGGAGTGCTGGGCTGGGTGGTGTTCATCTCCCCGAAGCCACAACAATGATCAAGCAACTTGCTTCTTTACAGCAGGTAGATGCACAGTGTGCTCCTTCAAAATTGCACGTTCTGAAGAACTCATTCTCTTTCATTTCCAAACTTCAGTGGGTGTTGGAGAAGGTGGGAGCTGTTATTCTGCACAGTGTGAGCCTGTTGGAAATGCAGACGGAGCGGAACAGTTCAGGGCTGGCTGGGTTAGCTGCAAACCCCCATGCAGGTGGAAATGTAATCTCACCTCTGCCACCTCCTGCTGACTCTTTGCTTTATTTCGTTCTTGTTTCCCCTCTCTGCTCCCAAAGTACACATTGGCTAAGGTGAAACAAACATTTCCTCGCAGCTGACCTGAATGGAGGGACCCACATCGTTTTTTGGATTCAGTCTCTGCAAGTGGCTTCTGTCAAATGAAAAGGCTCTGTCGGCTGTCACAGATCATGTCCTGTAGATACAAGGCAAGGTGTTCACCAGAAAAGGAATTTAAATTAAGGAAGAATGGTGCTTTTACTGCTAAATATGTGACAGAAAGCTTGGTCTGTCTTTGGTGGTTTTTTTTCTTTTTTTGTGTTTTTTTTTTTTTTCTGCGAAAAATTGAATTTTTTGACAAGTAAGATTTTTTTATCTTGCTTGGCAAAAGTGAAGAGCAGGGGATTTCAGCTTCTTGTGCCAGCTGCTAGAATAAAACAACTGAAACTTGTCAGCTTGGGAATATCGTGAGTCTTCAGTGGACATTCTGGTGACCTAAAGCTGCTCGCTGTTCTCCTCCAGAAATGACCTTACCAAGAGCTGCCAGGAAGGGCATGGTTTCATTCCATTTTGCATTCCATTTGCTTTGAAGACAGCACGTTGCAATATGTTTGTTTTAGTGCTCTTGCGTGTGGAAGAATTGCAGGTCTTGAAAGCTGAACGTTTTACACAAAATACATTAAAAGCAAATGTTTTTTTTATAGTATTATTTTTAATTGATGCATATTATTACTGCCACAGTTGTCCTTCTAAAGTTAAAACCAATCATCAGAGCACCTTGTTGAGGCCATTTGCAATGGTTGGAGCTGAGATTTGGGTAAAACTGCTGGCACTTTGTTGGTGGCAGAATGACACAATCCTGGTGCTGAAGTGACCCCAATGCCCTCTCTGATGGAGCTTCTCTCCTCACCTATGGCCGAGGCCCTGAGGCAGCTTTTGCTTTTGAAATTCCTCCTGTTTCCTCTCAAACCCCCTCCTGGCTCCATCTTTTCTCTCACAGCCTCTCCTAGAGCACCCAGCCCCATCCTTGCCCTGCAGGCACAAGGACGGGTTGGAGAATTCCAAACAAGTTCTCTAATAAAAGTAAAGGAAAAATCCCCCACAAAGTAAAACTTGTTCCCTGTGACTCTCAGTTTAGGCAAGAACTAATAAGATGAAGCTGCATGGTTCATCAATGTCGGATTTTTCAGATTTGTTCCTCAAATTGGAGGCTGTAAAAGAATTTTCAGGACTGGTTGTAAAGGCTTAAACGTTCTCTCTCGGAAAGGATTGAAATGCTGTTCAGTCCCCATTGCTTTTGTTCAGCTGAATCTGCCAAGACAGGTGCCAATTAGAGCTGCAGATGGTGCAAGCAGCCAAACGAGCCACCAAAGGGTTCCCTGTGCCTCAGGAAATATCCTGACTTTAAGTGGCCTCCTGGCACTGGAGTGCTGGTGTGGCTCCACAGCGGGCTTTGTACAGGTGGGAAGCCCTGTGGTTCTGTTATCCTCCTGAAAATTCCCTTTTGTGCTCCTTGGAGTTAACAGGCTTGGAAGGATCTCTAGAAAAGGAAGTTTCTGTAAGTTTGCAGATGTCTCATTAGTGCATTGTAATAATGAGAATATTCACCCTGACAGGGTGTGAGTAAAGGAGTTTCACTTTCTTAATGTGACTTACACCTGGTCACGTAAAACAGTGTTTACTGTTCAGTGATCTGCCATTAGCTGTGCAGGACTGCAGTTTTCCACTTCTTTTCAACGAGTCTTCAAACAATTTTACATTTTGATTTTACATTTTGATTTTACATTTTGATTTTACATTTTGCTCAGCCTTTACTGCAAAGATTTAAAATGGAAGCTCTTTTCCTTATTGCATCATTATGTAAGGATTTTAACCACAGGCCATCCCTGGGAGCTGCCGCTGTGTTGGGATGGAGAGCCAGCCCAGCTTGCCAGGCTCAGCAGGACGTGTTTGTCTTTGGCCAGCTCAGCCCTGGGTGACCTGATGGTTCTGTGTGTCCATCCTGGTGCTGCTCCGAGCTGCCTCTGGCCCACCTTGCTGCAGCAGCGGTGAGGGAACAGAGCTCTGAGCTTTCTGATGGAGCAGTGATGGTCTCTGAGGTGGGTTTGGGTCAATGTCTGTGAGGTGGATTTGGGTCAGTGATGGTCACTGAGGTGGGTTTGGGTCAGTGATGGTCACTGAGGTGGGTTTGGGTCAGCGTGAGTCTCCGAGGTGGGTTTGGGTCAGTATCTCTGAGGTGGCCCTGGTCAGTGTCTCTGAGGTGGGTTTGGGTCAGTGTCTCTGAGGTGGGTTTGGGTCAGCATGGGTCTGTGAGGTGGGTTTGGGTCAGTGATGGTCTCTGAGGTGGGTTTGGGTCAGTATCTCTGAGGTGTCCCTGGTCAGTGATGGTTTCTGAAGTGTCCCTGGTCGGTGATGGTCTCCGAGGTGTCCCTGGTCGGTGTCTCTGAGGTGTCCCTGGTCCGTGATGGTCACTGAGGTGTCCCTGGTCAGTGATGGTCTCTGAGGTGGGTTTGGGTCAGTGTCTGTGAGGTGGATTTGGGTCAGTGATGGTCACTGAGGTGGGTTTGGGTCAGTGATGGTCTCTGAGGTGGGTTTGGGTCAGTATCTCCAAGGTGTCCCGGGTCAGTAATGGTCTCCAAGGTGTCGCAGGTCACTGATGGTCTCCAGGGTGTCCCTGGTCAGTATCTCCGAGGTGTCCCTGGTTGGTGTCTCTGAGGTGTCCCTGGTCGGTGTCCCCGAGGTGTCTGACCCATCAGGTGTCTCAGCCCTCAGCCCCCAGGGTCCATCCCTGGAGCTCTGGGTGCTCTCTCCTGGCTGGAATGGTTCTTTCCTTCCTCTCCAACCATCCCGCTGTGCAGCCTGGGCTGCGCTTGTGTTTCACTGATAGAATGAGGGCAGCACTACAAAGCTACAGAGACTTGTTTTTTCCCTCTGTGGACTTAAAATAAACGACCACATGTCTGACAGGGAAGCTGGTTCTGTCTGGAATTTAAAATCACCTGACAAGAACCTGTAGAGCTTAATTTGCTTTAAAATGTTAAATGGAAATCAGAGCATGGGGAGAGTCTGTGGAAGAGGCATTAAATGAAACACTTACCAGCAGAGTACCTACAAATTCGGGAGCTAATAGATTGTTATCTGCCACCATTTAAAATCCTGAGACCAAATAAAATTCGAAATGTGGATCCTTATTCCTGTGTGCAGCATGAGCAGTCTTTGCTAAAATGTTCTGTGCATAATTTAATGTTCATCCTTTTAACTTTGAAGGCATATTGCCAAAGAATTACTCATACAGTTAAAGAAAAAAACTAAAAATCAGTGAGTGTAGCCCATAAATAAGCTACACAGAATTACTTCCCCTTCCAGATTTTTCAACAAATGATAAAGGATATACTCTTCAAAAATGCATTTACCAAAAGGAATCTTTTCAAATAATTTCTCATCCATACAGCTCTGGCTTTTAATGGCTGTTGCACTAAGCTTGGGAAATTGCTCTCACTCTATTTTAAGAGCATTTTTACCTAAGTGTTCTTCCTGTAAATGCCATTGGTGCCTTTGGTCCTGATCAGTGGCACTTGGAGCTTTAGGTGGGAATAATGCCCTGGGGTTGGGGAGCAAGCTCAGCCAGGTGAGACCTGCCACCAGTGGTGTTCCTTGGAATTAATGGGATTTCAGACTATATGTGACAAGCAAGATATCATAATTAAAGCATTCCTTGCAAATGGTTGAAGCTGTTGACTCATTAAACTGTGTTTTTCTTAATGATAAAGGGCTCCTCACTGGACAGCCAGTTGTGCTTGGACTGAATGTTTATTTATGAACTTGTTGTTTTTAGCATTAAAGAGAGATGAGGCATTCACAGCATTACAATTTCTTCATTTCTATTTTTTTTTGTACTGTCTTATATTTTGTTAATCCTCTAAAAAGACACTTCCACTACTGACTATGGTAGGTTTGGGGGTAATTTTTGTGCTACTATTCCTAAAGCTACTTTAAATATATAGAAAATGAACAGTCCCCAAAATGTCAGCCTTTCCTTTTAGGGGCTAAGCAGACCCCTGATGAAAATTCAGTGCTTGTAGGTGCTGTGGGAGTGGATTATCCTCAGAACTGGAAAGTGTTTCCCAATGTGAGGAGAGAAATCATGCTTGGAATCAGTCTGATATCTCAAAAAACTCAACAAATGGAGATTGGAAAAGAACTGATACTACAAGAACTATAAAAATAATGTCTGAGTAATGAATATGATTGACTTCATTGAATTTAATTTAGGTGTAAGGGAGATCTTAAGCACATGAATAAAAATACTTATTTTATGGAGAGAAAAGAAGCAAAATAGAGGAAATGGTTTCTCTGTTTCTCCCCATTAAGAACACTGAAAGAATTTAAGATTGGTGCAAAGAGACAGTAATTCAGAAACACAAAGCTTAAATAATTTGCAAGTCCTACACATTTCTCAGGTTTTGTTGTAATTCTTCCACAAGCACAAAACAGAAGCCTACAGAAGGAAGGTATTAAACTACCTTGAAAAATACTAAGCGATGCTCCATATAGTAGAAAGTGAAATAAAACTGCAATATGGAAATTCTGTATTGGCTGAGATAGGCTGTTGCTTTCAAAAGCTGCATAAAATGGAAGCCATTAGCTTCTACTTGCATTTAAGCAGTGGAGTTATAAAACCAGAATGATATAAAATTGTAAATTATAATCAGGCAGGTAATGTTAGACGTTAGAGGAAGATGCTTCCGTTTGAATACATTGTTTGAGGAGGTGTTTTTAAAAAGTATTCATGGCAAAGGCAATAAAGTATTGGACTGCTGAGATATGAAGGCACTTTTGCCAGAGTACAGAGATTGCCCCTGGAAGCAGACTTTTATTTTTTTTCCCCTAAAATTTACCTTGAGGAGCTCGAAAACACATTAATTCCACTGAAATATTGCCACTTCTTCCTTCTTCATGGAAAACCATCATTTCTGTCATTTGCTTGTAGATATTTCTCACTGCTTGCTATTATTTACTTGCGAAATCAAGGGAAATCAAAATTATACATAAATGGTCATTAATACTCTGATGACAAGCCTCTTTTTTGTATTTTCTTTTTTTTTCTGCTTACCCTGTGAAAGTTTGCTCAGAAAATGGAACTTCAGGCGTTTGTTTCTCCCAAAATGGAACTTCAGGCATGGTTTTTCCCAGCACCATGGGGTGCTGGGTCAGGATGTGAATGACACGAGTGCTGGAGGACTGCAGTGACAGCAGAGCTCCAGGTGGGTGGCACTTGGAGGATGAAGGGCTTTTGAAGCAGGATCTGCTTCCCCTAATTCTGTCTCATCCTGCTCAGTGGGGTTCAGGACAGACAGGTGTTGTTTAGTGTGTTCTGTGTGACACTGCCATTGGTGTACCTTTGTCACCATCACATCAAAAATAAGTAAACACCCATGGATGACAGTAAAAGGGTTTTAAAATCATGGGGATTTAGGGTTAAACGGAAAATTAAGCTTAGTAGGCCCTGAGAAAAAATAAACACCCATGGTACATGAAGGCCTTGTACCTTGCTAGAACTGCACCTGTGTAGCTAGTACATGATAAATGATATAATTGTTAGATGTGATGATTGTTTAGTAATTAAATATAATTACTGTTTAATTGTAAGAATAATCATGAGAAACTGTGGTCAGGGGCCTAGGAAAGATCACGAGAAACTCATGTCAATGTACACAATAGAACAATATAAGTTTAATAATTAATATGTAAGTTATATAAGGATAGAATATAAAATACGTTCAGCTCGAAAGCCGTGTCGGGGTCAGATTTGGGTCTGTACCCCTGATTTCAGAGCTCTCAATAAAAGCACCTGCAGATAATCATATCCTGTGATTCTGTGTGCTCCTGAACGCTGACATGTGTTGAAAAAAAAAATAGTGGGAAGAGGGGACACAGCAGTTCAAGCTGTGTAAATGACAATCATGTTCATACATTACTGCACTCACAACTCCAGTTATTCTCTAGTTTCCCACTAGTTTTGATGCCAAGCAAATGGGATTAAATCCTTTTGTAAAAGTATCTTCACCAGGACTGACAGTGAAATATTCCTGTGTTACCAGAGTCAACTGGAAAATCTTTTTGCCAATGACTCAAGTAATATTACCCAAGATAATTAATGAGGCTGGGGTAAAAGAGGTATCTGATTCCTAATAAAAAGGTACTCTAGTCCCATTTATTTTACTTTATGTTCATGTTTTATAAGTGCATTCTGAATATGCAGTCCATGATTCAAACACCACACTGTTTTTAAGCTGTAAAATCGTACGCAAATCCAATAAGTACAAAAATATGAATCTTAAAATTATATTCTGATATTTGTGTTACAAACTTGAGAACTGATAGACCTGTTAAACTGAAATATCAGCCTTTCAACAGCAAGCAGTAGTAATAAACTGAACTATTTCAGTAACTGTAAACATAATAAAAATCCTCATGATGAATCTCAGAAAAGTTCATTTGATGAAACTCATAACAAATACACTGAATCCAAAGGAATGAGTAATGCTGCGTTACTGATAAAACCTAGCTAACTTTTTTTTTTTCCAAGTGGCAAGAAGTCATGCTTTGCTAAGAAAGTAACAATAAAAAGTAAATGTCCAGAAAAATATCAAGATCTCTGTAACTGCAGTTCACCTGAACTGATAAAAATGCTTCCAAATTGAAGGCATGTTGAAGAGCCTTTTAGGACTGTGCATTTATTCTTGTGGCAATATTAGAGTTGCTTAATTATTGGTGTGTTTTGGTGACAGGGTCAGTTGATAACTGAATTATCAGGATTTGTGCTTCAGTTTGACCAAACAAACTATTTGGGACTTACAGCTATTTCCTCAGCATCAAATGAGGAAAGAGGACTAATTTTAAATAGGGTTAAAATTTCAATGTCGAATTGTTTTAGTTACAACAGATAAGAAATTCACTTGGTGTAACCTAATTAAAGCTAAGAAAATAGTGTAATCTTTTCTGAAAACATGGGGAGAAGTTGGTGTTTGTAATTCCAGCTCCTGTCTTGGCATGAGCCTCCAGCCAAGTGCCACCTTTATTCACTGAGTGTGGAACAGTGCAGTCAATACTTGCCTTAGCCACACCAGATCAGTGGAAGAAGCAGATAAATCACGAGCATTTTCATTAATTTACCTCTATTAGCATCCATTGTGGATGCACTGATGGGACCCAGCCAGATGCTGAACCCTGGAATCCTGAGCTTCGTGACTGCTCAAACAGCCTTGCTTTTCTTTTTGCCCTTTTGTTTGTTTGTTGGGTTTTTTGGTGTTTTTTTTTTTTTTTCTGGGAAGTGTTTGGGTTTTTTTGGGTGTTTTTGGTTTTTTTAAGTTTTTTTTTTGTTTTTTTTGTTTTGTTTTTTTTTTTTCAGAAATTGTGCCAAGGTTCTCAGCAAGTAAATTCAATTCTGAAGATGTTCCAGGGGACAATCAAACTTTGACTGGGACCATCAGCAGCTGTTGTGGTGAAGCAGGCACAGCTCTGTGCAGTGAGACACTGCAGCTGATGCTTCTGCATTTGGGGTGGGAAGGCAACAAAAGCAAGTCCTGGGTCCTGTGGCTTCAAAAACCCTGTAGCACTGAGGGTACATCAGATGGGCTAGTTGAGCACACCCTCTGCCTTAATTCCATCCAAAAGGAACCCAGATGAAAATACTTAAATTCCTTCAATGATTTAAAGGTGTCTGCTGGTGGGAATGCTCAGGAGGTACAGTTCTCAGTCCTGTGAACTAAAAGCAGTAAAATAGTAACTACTCTGGGATCTTTGGTGAGTTTGACACTTTCCCATGGCCAGTTTGAGTCTGACAGTGTGGGTAATGTTCCCTGTGCCAGCAATTTGGGTTTTTTAAGGCAGCACCTGCTGTCCCCACGGTTCAGGTGGAAGCACGGCTTGCTCCAGGGATGTTTGTTTGGGTGGAAGTGTTCTGGGCACTGTTTCTCCCTGAGGTGACCTTGCCCTGTTCAGTGGAGCCCTGCAGCAGCCCTGGGCACTTGGGCACCTCCCAGAAATCACCCAAAACCAGCCCCAGAGCTCAGCAGCTGTTCTGGTTTTGTCTGGAGCTTGGTGTGTGCTTGCTTTCCTGCCAGAAGCACATCTCTTACTGGATCATGTGAGATCTCTGACAATGAGCTGGCCATAGATGCAACTTAATACTCTTTTAATAGCAGAGATTTAGGTAATTATTTTGAGAACATATTCTTTGGTTTATATCCTTATTGCATATATAGATTGTTTCCTTGGATTTAAGGGAACAAAATATATGAGTAAGTAAATATCTCTTTTTTTTAATGCTTGTATTTGCTTTCCTAGATCTGCTCAGTGTGGGAAGTCTGAGGAATTTGGTCTTGACCTGCCTTGGAAGCTGAGAATTCAGATGCCACTCTGTGTTCCCTAAGGAGTAACATCTGCCCACTGGTGGCAGCTCCATCAAACGTTTTTGTATTTTTGCTTCAGTTAGGCAAGTTAAAATGATCAGCAGTGGAATGTTCCTGTTTGTATTCTTTTTAGTCCTTTCTAGCAAATACTAAATGTGCTTTTCCTTCCTGGGAAGCTTGTTGTTGTTCTGGTAATGAGACTTCACACATTAAAGCGTGCTGGTAGGAGCATGGAGGAGCTCAGGTGGCACACTGAACGTTGTTCCTGTTGCTAGGAAGTGATGAATCTGCTATCTAACGTGTTCATTTTCCTTCTGCATCTCTCCAATGTATCCTGTTAGAATTTTCCTTCATTTAAGCTGTAAAATCAAATTCTCACTTCCTATAGCCAAAAGCTGAAGCCCGTTAATACTCTGAGTGAGCTTAAACCCCTAATTTTATAATTGAATTAACTTAAAAAGGTAAATATTCTCCTTTTTCTGTAGTTCACAAGAGGTGTTTTCCCCCTACTGTAGCATGATATCTGCAACATAATTTAGAAGATCTGATTGCTTTGCTGCTTTTCCTGAAATGACAGATGATTTTGTGCAAGCTCTCAATTTTCCTTCCCAATTCCCCAACTTGAGGATTGTCATCCCAAGCTTTATTGCCTTTGCAATGAATTTTTTCCTTGGGAGGTACTATTTTGAGCACAGATTTTCTGTAACAGTGGGAATTATTATCTGTGACTAATAACAATCTCTGTGGAGCTTGTTATACAACGAAGACTGATCATGTGCTTGAATATATTCATGTGATTGCTTGCAGCTACGAGTAGCTTAAATTTCTGTAAGTTGCTGCTTTATCAAAAATGATTTTTTTTCCCTACTGAAATAAGGTAAATTATTAAACTACTGCTATTTTAGCTCAAGTTCAATAACACTTAAGTGAACTTGCATGCAACAATCTAGAAAAATGTATGAATTAACAGTGGTTAGTCTGGTCCTTTAACTGTTCTAACAGAATTTTAATTGTAACTTAAGTAGCTCCTTCTATAGCTAACCTATGTTTCTAAAATAACATTTCTTCAGAAGTGCCACATAGATGTGCCAATAACAAGACACCAGTAGAAAAGATTTTACTTGGAACCCAATTTTATCCTTGTTTATTTATTTTCTAAACAGCTCTTGTTTTGTGTAAATGTTCTGAGAATTAATTATCCTTCTGGGCACAGCGTGGAGCTCTCTAGAACATCTAGGGCTTTGCAGGAGGATCAGAGTCAGGATGTTCTTTCTTCTGATGTGGCTCAATTTCATATTCTAATCCCTATTCGAGTATTTTTGTAGGAGAAAACTTGAAGGCAAGGCAATCTGTAGTAATAAAGAGTACAGGACTGGTGGCTGTGTACACATGAAGTTTATTACCTTGTTTTCTGTGGATTTTTGTAGGTAACAAGATGATCTTTAAGGTCCCTTCCAAACCAGGCCATTCTGTGATTCTATTATGCCAAATTTATACAGTTGGTAGACACATCTACTTTGGATTTGCTTTTGTTAAGTCAGCCCTGAGGATGTAAAACAAAAGTGAAAGTGAACAACAGGAGCTTGTTACCCAATAAAAGATTGCAGAGGTTGCAAACCAAGTGTCAGCAGTGAGAGCCACAAGGAATTTCTGTGCTGGGCAAGTCCAAAAATGAGGATGCTGGAGGCATCCCCAGTGCTGCTTTTCTGTAGAAATTGCACCTGGGATGGATTTTATTTATTTTGGAGAGCCTGGAATAATAAAGAAGTGCTTGCTGAATATTCAGTAACATTTCCTTGTAAGGCCAATTGCCTGGGTGCTGTCACCTCGTTGGGTACCTAATGCTGCCCTGGGAGATGGGACATGAGGTTTTGGGTGTGCTGGGGAGGGGGTGGAGGATGGGGACTGCAAGCAGAGCAGGGAAAGTCATTAGAAAATAACAAGTGTTTTCAAAAACTCTGTGAGGATCTGATTGCCATCTGAGTTCTGTCAGTTCAGAATATAAACACAGCATGGTGACTGGAACTGAAGTGTGTTTCTACTGTGGAGCGTGATGCAAGGTCAAAAAGAGTGATTTGAATTGTGCAAGTTAGACAATGATTTCTGAAAAAAATACTTTGACACAGAGCTATCAGAAATGGCAATTGAAGAAAAGAGACTAGGGAAGAGTTGTAACTGTATATCCTTAACTGTATGAAGCTGTCAAACAGTAGAGTAACTTAATTTTGATGAAACCCTGTCCTTTGGTTCTGTCCCCCTACTGAGGAGTGTAAGGCAAAAAAACCCTTCAAGCCTTGGTGTTTTATTCCAAACTAGGATGATGATGGTGATGATAATTGTGGTTTTCCACACTTTCAAACCTTTGAGCCAGCCATGGCATATATAGGGAGCCAGCAGAGTTGTGCCAAGACTTGGTTATGAGGCATCTGCTGTGAGTCAGCCTTGCTCCAGCAGAGATGAAATCTGACATCACTTGCTCCCTAAAGTGACTTTAAAGATGTTGTTAGAGGCTTCTTTTCACAGGGTCAGCCACTAAAATAGCTATATCTGCAGTGCTGATTGATTTGGATGATTTTTTTTAAATACTCCTTCAGTTGCCTTGATTGAAAAGTCACTGGGGAATGACTGACACAATCTTGTCAAGCTCTTGTCAAGCAAAGTTACGTTTTAGTTGCTTTAATGCCAAACTGATGGCTTCAGCCTGCTTGTCCTGGCCTGACTGGTTAAAATTTAGGAAATCTGTTCACTTTCACAAGAAAACAAAGTCTCTGTTGACTTGCAGTGCTACCAGGAGATGATGGCAGCAAGAACTTACTCTGACTTTGTGGGACAGCAGATGAGGGGGAAGGCCCAGGGGAATTTGTCTCCTTTTCCCAAAGCCTTGTTTTCATAGATGCCTTGCAGAACTGTGCTGGTTGTGAATTTAGGAGGGAGACTGCTCCGGCACTCTTATGACTGGAGTTTCATTTATTATGTGCTGTTGTGATAAATTACTCATTGATGCCCTGAGAGTATTTTCTCTGATCTGTCTGTTCTTTTGTATTGTTCTAATTCTTTATTTTAACTTCCTTTTGTCTTTAAATCCTCAAAATGCTAACACACGTTTCATCCATCTGCATTTTAAAGTCTTTGTCCCATGGACTGATAAATAATGATATTGTCAAATCCCGCTTGTGTTAGTCTTTTTGAGCTGGTGGGAGTACTTTGGATAGCTCATTAAACTTAATATATAGGAAAATTTATTATAGATAAGGGGAGCAATTACCAGAAACTACATTATGAAAAGTCGGGTAGCTTAAATATTGATGAAGTCAAACAGAAGAATCAATGGCAGTTACTGGGCTGGATTCTGGAGCAGCACAACACAACTTCATTCAGCATCACAGTCTCTCTCCACATCCTACATAAATCATGGAACTCATTCGAATATTTTGGGTTTATGGTTAGGAAACCTCACAAAATTTTCAGAATTTATCAAGTCAGTGCTTCCATGAGAGGCCAAAGGCCAACAACAGCATTCCTGATTTGTTTCACACTTGTGGGATAAACTCTTACCAAGCAGTGATTGCAGTTCGTGTGGGTTCTCCTTCTTCCCTTCCTAATGTAGCCTGAAAACAGAAGTCAACTTTTGTGTTTGATAAATGAGCCCTACAGCTCTGGAACACTTGGCTCAATCAATGTGCTTGTGTTTGAGTCTCTGCACAGCTGTGCTGTGTTATTTCCATCCTGCTTTGCAGAGGTAAGCTGCAGTTCTGAAAGGGAGGAATTCCCTTCCCACCTCCCCTGCCCCCAGCCCTGCAAATGCCTTATCTGGGGTTTAGATGAGGGCTTGTCCCCTCATCTGCTGCCTACCACTTCTGCATTTTTACTTTTTCATTCTTACTCTGTAATACCTGAGAATAAGATCTTAATTTGGAACAAACCATGCATTTGGCATTGCAGGTATTCCAGTGTGTGCAGGAGTTACATTTTTAAGGCTGCAGGCACTGAATGGTTGGGTAGTTCTGAGATATGTGAGGTCTTTAGGTATAATGATATAATCTGAACATTTTTTTATGCTTGCATGCCTGAGAATGAAAAGACAAAAGATCATTTTATACAAATATACTTTAAAGAAGTGTCAAGTTCCCAGTATGCAGCTGGGGAGTCTGGTCTAATCCCTGTGACTGGTGCGTGGAGGGATGAGAACTGGAAAAGCAGAGAACACTGGAAATGCATTTCTGCACCCTGTTCCCAGCACCACCCACCCCCCCAAAGGAAAAAAATATAACACTGTTTCCATGGAAAAATCAACATGATAGAGGACTGCTGGATAGCCAATACCATTTTTTAAAATCCAATTGGTTGCAGCTGTACTGAGAGGGAACAAATGTTTTGCTGCCTTTGCTGCCAAATAATAGATTATATTTGGAAGCATAAGACTAATGAAAAAATACAGTTCAGAAACAGAGTGATTGCCAAGCTTCAGGCATAAGAAAGGAAACTGTTAGCTTGCTTGTAAAGCAAACCTCAAAAATTTAGGGTGATTTTTTTTTTTTTTAGATGCAGTGTAAAGTTATATATAATGTTGTTTGCTGAGGATCCAGTTTTTCACCATGGCAGTGATGCCAAGCTTCCTGCTCTCTGCTGGCTGTAATTTATCTACCCAGCAGCAGCAGCAGCCATCTGCTTGGGGAATCATCAGCCCAGGCTGGGCTGGAGGAGGGCAGCAAGGTGGGAGCAGGGACTGGGAGAAAGGGAATTGTGGAGTGGAGGGATGGCAGGATGGTGCTCCTGCTTCCCTGGGTGTGTCCCACGCTCCCTGGCTCGGGTCATCCGTGTCCCCTGTGGGGTGTTTGGCACGTGGAACACCCCTGCCTTGAGGTCTGGCAGAGGATCAGCAGCTCTCACACCTGTGGGGACTTTATCACAGGTGACCAGATCACTCAGGGGTGTAGGATCTGTGGCTTCATTATTTGAAATGATTAGATATGAGAACCAAAAAAGAAAAACAGTTATTCTCTCAAGCTCCTCATCATCAGACATGGAAGTGAAGTGTGTGCCATTAAATCTTGTTAGAGCAAACAAAGAGGTTATTTACTTTTCAGTCATTTTCTCATTGTCGTGATAGAAGCATTGATTTGTATATCAATCAAATCGATTGATTGATATACAATCTAAGTGCAGGCTGGAGCTCGGGTGGCACAGGTGGAGGGCAGCACTTCTGCAGTGCTTTGGCTAAACTGAATCAATAATGCCATCTGACCCAGGGCAGAGAAGAAATATCTTTACAACATCAGGCAATGCAATCTGATCCACGTTTGGGGTATTGAGCTCCTCATCAAATATCTGTGCAACAAGCAGGGATTGATTTTCCAGTCCCTGCCCACCTGATGTGAATGTCTGTGTGCATCACCCAGCAGCATTCATGCAAACCTCTGTCTGCTGAGCTGCTGGTAAGATTTTACTAAAACATGCTGTGGTTCATCTTGTTTTGTTGTTTTTTGTTTTTTGTTTTTTTTTTTACAGTTTGCTGGTGCTGAATGATTTAGAAATTTAAACCCTCACCTTTAGAAATCACCATCTGCTGCTGCTGTCTCCTGTAGCACCTTAACTCAGTTTAATTCAAATTGCAGCTGCCTCTGGCCTAAAAAACTGTGTGTTACTGCACCAGCAGTATCCTTAAAAAGAATTATGTTTTATTTTCTATTGGGAATATGTGCACCAGGCATTGTTAGAGTGAGAAATTAACTTGAGGTCTGGAGTGCCTGGGAGTTGGAGGTCAAAGATGCAACTTTCTGTTGGTTCCAAACAAAGATGGGATCAGCCCCTTTGCAGGTCAGCATCTGTGGTCATGCTGCAGCAATGTTTGGCAGCATGTTTTAGGGGGTTTCATAAAGAAAACACACACTTCCCTCCTTCATAATGAAGCACGTTTTATACCAGATGTTGTTGGGTATCATGAAACATTTGTTTATATAAATAAAAGATATGTTCATGAAAAATTGTGCTGCTTTCACACTTTCAAAAGCTAGTGTACACCTGGATTCTAAAGCTTATATTGCTCCTATACCTACAGAATTACTGCAAATTGTATAAAACAACCGTAAATTGTATAAAATATATATGTTCAGAAGAGCAGAATGACAAAGAGAATTCCAAGACTTTTTTTGGTGTTGTTTTTCACTTGGACACCCTTGAGTATGGCTGTTGTGCTGGATTTTTCATTTTGGACACGATACTTCCTAAACTAAAATTCAGATGCTGAAAGCTTGCCTGTTGCAAACACTTGACTTGATTTGTCAACTATTAATAGTATATTTTGGAACCAATTTAATTCCACTCAGTGAGTGCTCACATGAATTTGAATTAGTTTAGTGATATTTTAATTTTTTTCAAAGATAGCCTCGGCCCCGCTACTGCAGGGCACAAATATTCCTAAATGTGCAGGTGTTCAGCAGATGGAATAAACTCCTGTAGAAGTGCAGGTGTGCGCAGCAGGTTTATCTAGTGGGGTTTCTGTGGAACTTAACAAATTCTGTTTTTTGGGGAGTTCAGAGGGAATTGCTGCTGTGGTTCTCTGGCTGCCCTCTCTCTGTGGCTTTGTCCTGTGCCACGCTGTCACAGGGATGCTGTGCCACACTCTCACAGGGATGCTGTGCCATGCTGTGCCACGCTGTCAGGGACCCCGTGTCTCTGCCCTGATGATTTCCTCTCATGGGTGGCATCAGTTCATTGCCCACGCTGCGAGTGACAATGACACCGTAGTGCTGGCAGTGCCAGGCTGTAAGAACTGGATCAATTCACAGAATAACTGGGTTGGAAGAGACCTTTGAGACTGAATCCAACCCAGCCCCAACCCTGGCACCCAGTGCCACATTCAGGTTTTGTTTAAACACATCCAGGGATGGGGACTCCACCACCTCCCAGGGCAGCTGTTCCACAAATTTATTGTAAATGCAGGTGAACTCTGTGGGAAGAAATGACGATGTTTGACTCCAGTTCAGAAGGCTGAATGATTTCTTTAGTATAACTATGCTATAATACATTAATATACTATTTAAAGGAGATACTAAAACTACAAACCTACTTTTTCTCACTACCATATTTAACTCACAACTTGTGACCCTCTCTGAGAGTCCAGCCCCAGATGGGTTGGATTGGCCACCAGGCTCAAACAAATCTTACCAGAATCTAATCAAGAAATCACCCCAAGAAGACAATTCTCCAAATATATTCTACATGAGAAAAACAAAGAGCAGAAATAGAAATTATTTTCTCTTTCTTCCCTCTGTACTCCTCTATAAAAAATCCTAAGAGAAAGAAAAATGTTATTACCACACAACTGTATCACTCTTTCAATAAAACACTTTTTCCTAGTATCCAGGCTGTATTTCCCTTGGCACAGCTGCAGTGCCACGGCCGTGTCCCCGCGCTGTCCCTGTGCTGGTGGCTGTTTCCCCCTGTGCCAGGAGCACAGGCTGTGCTGGCTCACGGGCTGAGGTTGGTGTTCTGGCACACAATGGGCTGTACAGCGCTGCCAGCCCTCTCCTGCTGGGCTGCATCTCTGTGCCCACAGCTTTTCCAGTTGTTTTCCAGCGCTGGCAGCTCTGGTGGAGCTGTAACCTGAGCATCCCACAGCGCTCAGCTGCTTAAAGCTGTCAGCTGTGCCAGGTTTGAGGTGCTGCCTAAGCAAAAGGTACTCTAAAACCTCATGGAAGATTTGTTCTTTTCATTTTCTGCTGGTGTTATGATAGGCAGAGAGGGGAAAAAATGTCTTGTGAAAGGCTTTCCCACCGCCATCACCCCCCAGGCTATATTTTATCTTTGCTCAGGGTTTGCTGTAGCAGCTGACTCAGAATTGAGCTGTTGGGTGATAAAGCAGCTCTCCATTTCTTCTTGGTAAGCAGGGACATGAATTGTGCACACGACTGGGTCTGACCTCACCTGTCCTGCACAGTTAGAGGGGCTGATGGATGGAATGGGACCTCAAAATAAAACACTCACTGTGGTCACTTGGGCTGCAGCTTGGCCTCTGGTTTTTGCTGATGTTCCTGCAGGTGTTACTGGCCAAAATCTGCTCTTCACCTCCGTGTTGTGCTGCTTTTTCTACCACTATCCCTGGCATGCAAGTCCTGAGGCTAGCATCCCTTGGAGGTGCGTGAGAAATGTTGAAAATATTCATA